AATATAAAATGTGTGTGTGTGTATATGTTGTGCTGCAAGCATTTGGCCCCCTTCACAAAACACTTCAAGCTTGTCCTGAGATGCCTTCAGGTTGTTTTGGTGTCATTTCTGAAAGGACTGAGGCAGCTCGGAGGCTCGGGGTTGTAACAGTTGTAGCAGTCAACATATGAAATGGTAAGCTGAGTTTGTGGCTCGGAGTTGTGACGTATTGATGTGTATGTGAGCTGCCAGCAGCAGGATTTGGAATTGGAAATGTCTGACATACATTTTCCACATYGACACAGCTGAGTTAAACTCCACACTTAAAAGTTGGTATTCTTTACCATCCTATGTGTAAGTATTACAAAATGGAAACTTGTTTTTGAAAGTTTTTTCTTTTAAAAATGAAAAATTGTCATGTCTCATTCACAAAAGTATTATGAGTCTTTTGATTGGGTTCAGAAATCATATAGCTATCTGCATCGTGTTTTCTTAATAATAACTCAGACGAGTACGGAGATGGATCTAAATCTAGTGGACAGACTGTAAAAAATAGCACACACCTGCAGTTATGAGGTCTTACAACTAAGGCCACATTTCATGATAATTACCAAACCATGACAGTCAAGTAGACTCTCTGCAGACAACTAGAAAATCCATCAAGAAACCATTGCAGAAAAACAGGTGGTTGTGTCTTACACAAGGAAATTCTCATTTTGCTTGTCTTCTAAAAGAGACAATAAAAATAGAAGTGTTTTGTAAAAGGCTTCAAATAGCTGTACTGAGTAGAACATGCAGTTAAAGTGAAAATGACACCACTGTAGTTTGCCTGCTTCTCCATGTAAAAATGCCCACAAAGTTATTACAAATTACACAATACCTGATGCATAAGACATGTCTCCTCTCTGCTGTCTTTTCCTGTCTTAGACCTGGTGTTAAATCTCAGGACACAAGGTTAAATAATGTCCCAGGTCCAAAAATGCATCAGTTGGAAAGATGAAGCTTGTGATGAGAGATAGTTTAGCGGATGAGGATGTCTTGTAAAAAAATAAATAATTAAAAATAAAAATCTACATGCACTTTTATTGAGAAGTAAATATGTAAGTGGCCATTAGCACTGCAATGTCGTCATCTTATCTGACAGAGTTAATGCAGTGCATGGCAGGCTGTAACTAAACAGAATAAATGAAGCAGCTGTGCCACTGGTCATATTTAATTGATGGTGTTTTAAAATGACAGCTGTAAAGTTGTCTCATTTGTTTAATGCCTGTTGCCTCAAGTCCTTTTTCTTAGCTCGCTCATCAGGTGGGAGGAACAAAGACATGAAAGGGAGAGGATGTACAAACACAGAAATTAGAAATAGGCTGAAAGAGGAGCCCCTCTTTTTTAAATACTAAAACTGCCAAATCACACCCTGGTTACACAAAAGACCAGCTCTGCCATTTCCATAATTATAAGGAGCACTGTCCTTATAAAAAAGCTCACTATTCATTGAGAATAAGTTGAAATTTTCTCAAAATTTATAGCAAATACTTTGGTTTTTCACCAAATTTACCATATTTGCAGAGGAAAAACACTAAGACAAATGTTTTTCTTAATTCAGAACTTTTTAAGAGGGACTCTGTGTACTTTATAAACAAAATAAAAACATTTTACCTGTTGTAGATAGCTCTTTGGTTTGAGGAAAATGGGTGTGGCCAAGGACTAAGTGGTTTGCTGGTGTTTTAAAATACTTTCAAGCACAAAACTTTCATAGAAATACTATGTATTTTTTTTTTGCACGGACTTTTATGGTTTTGTTTTGTGCAAATAGTAGGACAAGCAGCAGCTAGCTGTAGTATTTCTAGTACAGCTTGGGTCACTCAAGAATATTGTATTTTTGTGGACCTAACCATGTAATCCAAAACTGACTGAAGGAACAACAGTATGCAAATTCTTCACACCAGTTTTGCTTCTTTAAAATGTAATTTTTTATTGCAAGAAGTGGTTATAATACAGGATTAATTTGGATGAATAATACTTAATAAATAAACAAACAAATACATGAATAAATAAGTAAATAAATAAATAAATAAATTCACAAAAATTGCAATTTTATACCAATTCAGCAACTGTGGGTCGACTTGTCACTGATAGGATACTTTATCTTCATCTCAAGAGGGACTCCATCTCTTAACTCTTGTTTGCAAGCCAACCATAAACTCTAAGGCCAAACATGTCTGCCAAAAAACTGGATTTAAAGCAAACACAGCTGCCTGTTGGAGAGTGTATCATGGCTTTAGTTCAGGGCATCATTGAAGACTATTTGAAAATAAGTTATGCTCCTTTCCAACAGACTCTAAAGCCATTGAGCTGAGGATCAGAGCGGAGTTGGTGACATAGATTGTGTCACAGGTCTCCTGCTGAACTGCGACACTCCCCAGTTTAACCTTAAGAAAAATGATGTTAACTCATTGAAGCTGCAGTGTTAGTTTACAACATCAAGCTGCTTTCTGGAGTGTGTTTATGGAGATTAAGAAGCAAACGAGTGTGTAATTAGGGGMTATCAGATGAGGTAAATCTTGGCCAGTGGGAGGAAAGGCATGGTGATGTCGGTAATCAGAGGAGAATGCGACACCCAGAGGTTAGAAGCTGAGCAATGATCGCTACTGAATGACCAAATAATGGATAACAGCTGTAGGTGAGACAAACACAAAATGTTTTATGGAAGAAATTACTGGCCATGCAAATGTATATTGGAATATAACTGTTTTTGCATTGACTCCAAGGTATTCGTTTTTACTTTCAGATWAACAATATACACACAGAAAGAGAATCTTATAAAATCACCGCACAAGTGACACATTTATTCTGCTGGGGACTCTTAATGAAAGATTTTGTATGAAAAGAAAACGTTGATAAACACTCATCGGCA